CAGAAGATTCTTTTCCTGTAAAGGAAAAAGCAGGATTTCGTTGTAATTCCTGAATATTATTTTTCATGACTTGTTGATCTGTCTTGAGATTTTTAATCTCAGTTTTTATTATGTTAATTTCTATTTGAAGATGTTGAATAGTGACTTCTTTTGGTTTGTTATTAAACCTTTCTAAAGTTTTATATAGACTAAAATTAGGTTTACTAATTGTAGGGGCTTCAGGTTATGAGTTGCCTAATAATACCTTAAGTTTTTTAAGGTATAAGGTTTTTAACTCAGGATCATCTACTTTACTAATTAAATCAATAAGTAGATGTTCTTGTTCATCATTTTTTGTGAGGACATTAAGTGACTTATTAGGATTGCAGCAACTATCTTTACATCCTAGTGTAATATTGGGAGAACTAGGAGAAACATCGGATGACTGGGAAGAGGAACCAACTTCTGGATCACTACTACTATCATCAGTATCTTTTAACTGAAGAATTTGGTAAATGGATTCTTTAATGTCACTGGGGATTTGTAACTGATTGATCTTTGTTTTTGCATAGCAGTCTTTTGCAAAGTGACCTAGACGACCACACTTGTGGCATTTAACTTTACTAATATCTGTGGTAGTAGGGGTATTCTTTTTCTTAAAAACCTTTTTACTAAACTTCTTTTTAGGTTTAGGCTTTTAAGAATAATATTCATTTTTTGGAAAGATTGGTTTCCTGTTTTTGTAATTCCTACGGTAACCTTTGTAACTCTTATTTTGTGATTTGGGGTTTTGTCTAGATGGAGTTATGGGTGGAAGACCATATTGTTCACAAAAGGTTCCCATTTCATATTTAGCTCTTTTCCTATCATCTTATAACTGGTTACTAATTTTCATGTCAATACACATCCGTAATCCTTCCTTTTGGATTAAGCTGATGATATTGCCATATGTGAGAGTATCATAATCAATGTTACCTGTGGCTTTACTAAGAGTATCTCTAATCTTATGAGCAAAGAGGTTAGGTAATCCATTAATGAATTTTTCTTTCCAGAATGGTTTGTTACTCTCATCTCTCATTATAACTCTAGATAAGAATACATCTTTATACCATCTAAAATCTCTTATGGTTGGACAAGAGAGATTGGTAAGCTGGTCATGTATTCTGGAAGTGATGTTACTTGGAGTACCTATAAAATGATCAACTATGGTATAAACAAGAGTATTAACTCTATCAGGAATAGCACGACCTATAGCTTCATCAAAAATAGGAAGACCATCATTATCCTTTTGAACATCATTTTTTATTTGTGTTCGAGAATCTTCAGTTAGATGTTTCTCCCACCAAGATTTTAACATCCCTGAAAATCCTGAGGTTAATAAATTAACTATTTTTGGTTGACTAAGATTATGTGTAGTAACATAATTATTAGCCACCATATAAATATGACTGAGTTTATTAAGAATTTCCTGTTATGATAAACTATTTATATTCCATTCATAGAGTTTAACTGAGGATACAGAAAATTGATTTTGAATATTTCTTTCTTCATATTGAAGATCAGGAGGTGTCGGCCTGGGGTACTAATTTTTGGTAAGACTAGTTGGATTAACACGTTTATTGACTAGTCAATTAATTTCAAGATTAGAAAAAGCATGTTCGATTTGCTGGATATCAGTGGGGTAACTAGAGGTGGACGAAGGACTATCAGAATCATCAGTATTATTAATAACAGTGATTGTTTTGTCTTCTTTAATGGCTTTGCCTTTCTCCATTATTTTGAGAAGAGTCTCGATCTGGAGAATGACAGAAGGATCAGGAAGGGCCTTGGGGAGGCCTTTTCGTTGCGTGGGCATAGAAATAATAGGTGACTCAAGTGGAGTGGTAGTTACAGGAGGAATGGTAGTCTGAGTGAGGGAAAGTTCAATCTTATCGGGTTGGGTCTCAGTAGTATGGAAATATTGATTAGTAAAATTATTTTGTTCAATGATTTTTCGTGTGTCGTTATCAGTGACTGTGGTAGTGACTTTTAAAGGAGAGGCAGGAATTTCTGTTCCCATATGATCTAGAATGACGGAGTCTATTGGAGGATGGGAAGAGGAGACTATTGATTTATCTGGTTTTTTCCACTTGACTTTGGTTTGGACATTGACTTGATTGTAACAGTTTTCTAGATAATCGAAAATTTTGATTTCTAGTTGATGTTCTGTTATAAATCGTTGCCAATGACGGAGGACTCGTTGTTGTTCTTTTTCAGTATGTGACTTTCTGAAGGCTTTTCTTTTAAGCTTGTTTTCTGGAGAGGAGTATTCATCATGTAACTTGGAGAGATTATATTTAAAAGGTTTACTAATAGTGTTTAATGAAGGATCTACTGGGTTAAGGCTACCAATGAAATCAGAGGGTGAAGAGGAATTTGGTGCAGACTGAGACTTGTTATCAGCTAGAGGAGTTTGCTCATAACAAGGATGACTAACTTGTTCTTCAATATGAATGCCTTTTAACTTAGTGTCTTTAAACTGAGGATTAAGTTTGAATTTTTTCTTGCGAGAGGAGGGACTGAGTTACTATCTTTGTCAGGATCTAGTCTAGAAGAAGTAGAAGGACGAGAACGGGTTAGAATGCGTTGTTCATCAAAACTTATTCTGACTGTTCCGTCAAGATATTCCTAGACTCTATCAAGACTGCAGATATCATTTTGTATTTTAACTGGGTGGTTTTCATTCTCAATAATCCATTCATTTGGTAAAGAAATATCTTTTCAAGCAATAGTTTTCTTGAGTTGAATATTAGCATCAGCAGAACTACTTTCAATTAATAAAGTATGTCCTTTAACATCTTTCTTCATTACTTTAATGTTGAGATTAGTTCCTTTTGTCTTATAATAAATCCGATAAATAAGACCTAGAGGTTGTGATACAGGGAGCATTTTGTAACCAGAAGTTTTAATATTAAGGGTTAAGGCCTTTAATAGGTGAGGATCAGTTAAACTGAGGGTTAGATCTGGATAGCAATTAAAATGGACTGGACCATTACAGAGACTAGTTTCAACTATTCCTAAAAGGCTATCATCATAATCTAGGAATCTAGCATCTCGTAAGGCTAAGAGTACTGAGGCATTGAGACCAGTACCACCAAATGGATTAATGGCCACTTGGACTAAACCTATGTGGATGAAATTGGATCCACGATCTTTATGTCTCTTGATTGCTTTATTAGTGAGTAACTTGCATTTTTCATGTTCTTTGGATAGAGAGTAGATTTTTTTTACTGTTTTAACTGTATAGTCACTAAGGAAAGTTGATTTAAAGAAACTAGTTTTATAGATTTCTCTAGTTGGAATACGGGGAATACTCCAATCACTAAAATCTAAACTAATATCTTCAACTTGGTATTCTTCTTCATTGACTATGTTTGGAACTGGGGGATGTAGGCTAGTTCTGGATCTAGAACTCATTGAAGAGGAAGACCTGAATAACCTATTCATGATTTCTTATCTCGAACTATCTCTGGGTGATTGACTGGATAAAACATACTATTGTCATGATTCTCTCAAAGTGGTATCTAAATCCTATCCACGCGCTCATCCGCTTATGCCGTCCCGCTCAGGCCTCTCTTGGGTCTTACTGTTTGGCTTGGGTCTTATTGTTTGGATCTGGACATACAGAAAGGAGTAGGAGTATAACGATATGAGAATCAATAAACAGAATGATTTAAACAAAACAAGCAAACAAGATAATAGTGATGAATAATGAGTTACTATTCCTATCGTTTGTGCCGACGGTTACTGTAGATGAATAGTTCCTTGTCGGGAGCACTGTAGAAATAGTGATTCTACCGACAGTTACTATAGAAATAGTGACTTTGACCTATTACTGTAGTAATGTTGACTTTTCCCAAAAAAAACCCTTAGTAAGGATCATGTCTCTAGATGAATGGGGATCTCACCCAGTTATAACCAAACAGTTACCAGAACATGACTATTCCTACAACGGTCATGTAGTCATTATTATATATATATATATATTCTCTTATATGTGTTATGGGGCCTATGACTTTCTAGTCATTTTTAATTATAATTGAATTTTCAATTTAGATGTTATTCTGAAAATACAAAGGTTTTTCTTGAAGTTTGAGATTTTTGAAGTTGGATTAGCAAGAAAAAGTGAAATATTTCATTTAGGAAGTTTTAATTTTCTAAAAATTAATTTTTATTATGAATATATGACTTCCGTCTTCTTTGAACCTAAAAATAGTTCATGAGGCTCAACTTAAAAAATGAGTTTAATTTCTTCAATTTTGTACTTTTTTTTAAAAAGAAAGATTATTTATTTCATTAAATTAATTAAAAATTTAACATTAAAACGAACAAACACTATATGACACAAAATGAAAGAGACATTGAAGCGTTCAAAGTTTTTTTTTTTTTTTTTCCTCTTTTCTTTTTTTGTCAAATATACACACACACAAACACAGAGAGAGAGAAAGATACAGTAATATTCATACATCAGTTTTTTCTATATCTTAATTTTTTTAATAATTAAAGACAAAATTACCTTGTAAATTTACAAACTTGGACATTCCGCCAACATAAATTTGTAATTTATGATCAAAATTCATACTTTTATTATCCCAATTCTAAATTTATAAATATAATGCAATAAAAGGTGCCATACTCTCATTTAACTCTTTCGTTCAAAATTTTCAAAAAAGAAAAAAAAAAAAATAGTAGTTTCACTTTATCCGGAACACATTATAAGGCATATCTAAATTAGTTAAAAAAATCAGCAAAATTATCGGAATAAATTAAAGATACTTTTTGTTACTCCATAACTCCTTATCTCTACTAATACTACTACCGAAGTCAATGAAAAATGGAAAGTAACTAAAAATTTACAAAAGTATAAATGCTTTGAAGCTGACGTAACAAGAAGAAGCTTAGAAGAAGAGGCACCCATTTTTCTTCTAAACTACCATTCAACAACACACGTTTACTATTATACCATATATATATATATATATATATAGTATTATTTTCGTATGGGAGAAGAAGAGCCCAAGGCCATTCCAGTGGAAGAATCAAACCCTTCTGTGGCTGTTTCTGTAGCAACGACAGACATGGCCAGAACTCACACCACACTATCACCTCCCAAACCTTCGTGGTTCACTCCAAAAAGGTACGTTATATATATATATATATGAAGAAAATAGATGAAGATATTGCAATCTGGGTTTTTTTTTTTTTACCGAAAGAAATCAAAAGGGTTTCACTCGACTCACTCGTTTTAGAGGAAATGGTGTTTTGATTTTATTTTTGTGCGATTTCTAGGCAACCCAATAGAAAATTGTTTGGAATTCAATGAAGTTGCAACTAGGAAATGATTACTGTTGGTTTGGGTCTTTTTTGTTTGATTTGTTTGGATGAAGAAATTTATGGGTTTGTGATTTTAGTAGATACGGAGTTGACCTTTTGCAGTTTTGTTTGGTCAAAGATGCTTCTGTTGAGAGTTTTCAGGAAAATGCCTTCTGTTTTAGTGAGGGTTAGGGTTTTTGACTGGTTCTGCTGGTCAAATTGAAATCAGAATGTGTTATGTAACTTATGATGGAATTCTTAATGCTATGTGTGCAGGTTACTCATTATATTTTGTGTGATTAACTTGTTAAATTACGTGGATCGAGGAGCAATAGCAAGCAATGGTGTGAATGGTAGTCGCAGAACTTGCACAACAAGTGGTACATGCTCCTCTGGTAGTGGAATTCAGTAAGTCTTAACTAATGGCTTTGGTTTGATATTATGATTCTACTATTGCTTTTATGCTGTTTTCTTTATGATCATTTTTCGTCGTGTTATTCTTCTCCGTTTCATGTTTGCCGGTTCTGTCATAACTTTATGCTATGAGGTTATCCAATTAAAGACACTGACAAATTTATCCAATACATACAGAGTGGAAATTTCTGTTGGTCTTTATATGCCATTTTCTCCCTGCTGTTCTTAATATTGTTCATATGCAAAGCAAATGCATATTTTCAGAAAGAAGAAAAAGGTTCATGTCTTCTAAGGACCTTTGAGTTCTTGTCTAATTGTGAATTTGTTTGAAAAACACAGTTGAACATGGCTTCTAAGGACCTTGGAGTCCGAGACTAATTACGAATTTGTTTGAAAAATTCGAAATCTAGATGGTTGAACCAAAGGTATGGGATTTAATCTCATCTTCGTGAGAGTATTGACTATTGAGAAGGGGAGTAAAGAGAAGATTTGTCTGTGGCCTGTGGGTATAGGGGAGGGCTACCCTCTGAGTAACCCATTGTTTGCTCCTAACACCATATGTAAAAAAAATAAATATATGATGTTTCATGTCTTTTGTTATACACATTTGTGACGATCAACTTTGATATTTTGCCATCCATTGCAATAGATATCCACACAAAAGCAACTACTAAGTAAAAGGTAGTGAATAATTTTGAGAAGGATTACGTGGACAAAGAGAGAGTACCCTTTGCTGTTGCAGAGGATGTTAGGGGTGGTTTTTTGGCACTTTGAGTTGTTCATGATTTTCAGCAGATGAGACAGATATAATCTGTTTGGAATTTTGCTGCATATTGGCATTCTAATGGTAGATAGTTACTGCAGTTTAGAGGAAGATAGCCTATCTGATGTATATAGACTGCATAGCGAGTGTTGATGCTAATAAGTTATGGTCACATTTTCTTTTTAGCTCTCATGGTTTTGTTTCTCAATTTGTATATTTACATAATTTTTACTTATCAACAAAAAAAAAAAAATTTGTATATTTACATTATTTTGAGGGTAGGCGCTATGAGGATAGGTCTCTCTCTCTCTGCGAGAGGATTGGGGGGGACTTTGGTTTGCAAGTATGTGCATTTCTTTTGGTTTATAAAATTCTTTCTTACTGGTGAAAAATGTTCACATGCGTGTATTAGCTATAGTTACTGTTATGTTCCAATCAACCTTATTTAGTGCGCTACTTGGTGTTTGTAATATTACTATCACAAAACTCCTCACCTTCAATTATTTTTTCACAAAGTGTCTTGACAACAATTTTCCCCCTTCCCCCCCACCCCCCAAAGTCTTTTAGTTCTTCAGCTTATATACAATTATTCTTGTTTCAGGGGTGATTTTAACTTGAACAATTTCGAGGATGGCGTTCTATCTTCTGCTTTCATGGTTGGACTTCTTGTGGCATCTCCAATATTTGCATCTTTAGCGAAGAGGTAATAAACTTTTGTGGTTCAATCTTGGCAGCCCCATCTTGCCTTGATGTTTTGGAAGGGGAATGATAAAGTTTCAATGTGTTGAACACAGTGAATTATGATAATATGGATGTTCACACTGAAAAATATTTGTATCTTGATGAACCAAATGATTAATAGTTAAAAATACAATTTGAAATTTTATGTATCCATATGCAATAAAAGTCAAAACTTAAGATAGCATGTCAAGAGCTAAAGTAACACGTTCAATTAGAGTCGGGATGGTGTCCATGGTATCAGATAACCAATTTGGATTCATGCTGAGATGGAAGCTTATATACCTACTTAGGCAATTAGTTGAAACATGTAGAAGTAAGCAACAAAACTTACATATGTTTTTCATAGACTTAGAAAAAGTGTATGAAAGGGTCCCAAGAGATATAATTTGGTGTGCCCTCCAAAGAAAACAAGTTCCCTTACAGATCATAAAAAGCATCCAAGATATCTACATTAATACAAAAACTAAAGTCGTACCATGATGTTTGCTTATGATATCGTGGTCTTGGATATCTTTGAAGAGAACTTAACAATAAAACTAGAAATGTGGAGAAATGCTATAGAATCGAAGGATTGAGAATTAGTACAACTAAAACCGAGTATATGGAGTGTAAATTTAACAAAGATTCGGACATTGATAACACAATAATAGAACTTCAAAACCAAAAGGTTACTCAAAACAACCAATTTTGGTACCTAGTGTTGATAATTCAAAATGATGCAGAAATAGATAACGACATAACTAGTAGAATAGGTGTGGGTGGAAAAAATGGCGGCAAGCGAGTAGGAAAAATGTGTTAAAAGAATAATACATAAGCTAAAAGGAAAATTTTATAGGACCATTATTAAACCCAACTATGTTGTACGGGGCGGAGTGTTGGCCCTAAAAGAGGGACAAGAACAAAGTCTTGATGTAGCGGAAATGAGAATGTTTAGATGGATGTGTGGAGTGAGAGACTAGAAAAGATAAGGTTCCTAATGAGAGAGAAAAATTAGGTGTAGCACCCATTTGTGAGAAAATTAGAGAGTAGATTGAGATGGTTTGCACACATCTGTCGGAGACCTGGAGATGCAGGGGAAGTGAGGAAGACTAGTTGTTATAGAAGGTAAGAGATTGAGAGGGCGATAAAAAATAACATCGGATTAGGTTATTAAAAATGACTTTATAAAGTTAAATATAATAGGGGAAATGGCATGTAATAGAAAAGATTGGAGAGAGAGAATTCATATGGCCGACCCCACTCATATGGGACTAAGGCAAGGATGATGATGATGGTGATGGTGATGGTGGTGGTGGTGCTTTGTATTGATTATGATGATGACAATGCGAGAATGATGGAAAAATAATTGATCATTACATTCTTTATACAGGTATTTAGGCCAAATCTGTTTCATTGATAATTCTGGAAAAGTATAAATTGATAAAAGTACATCCCCAGTGTCTGCACTAAGGCAATGCCACTTCATGCAAACCATTTGGACATGGTAATATTATGTCTGTTAAGCAAAATTATCCTGTAAAAGAAGGCATTTCTTCGGAGTCGGCTTTTGAGGTTATTATAATACCTTAAATTCATGCTGTAATTTGATTACCTGTTGCTGCATTGTCCTGTGGCTCATGATTGTTGGAGTCTCATTTTTGATTTGTTTGGTATCCATTGGGTTATGCTTCGGACATCTCGGGATTTGCTGGATATTTGGAGGGGCCAATGGGTGGGGGCTCAGGCGAGAGTCTTCTGGAGGATAACCCCCTTTTGTGTTTGGTGGAGCATTTGGAAAGAGCGGAATAGAAGATCTTTTGATGGGAAGGAGGCCTCCATTGGGGTGTTGAAATTCTCTATTATTTGTACTCTTTTTTGTTGGGGTTGGGGGCGATATTTTTCCTCCATTGAGGATATTGTGGACTTTGTGGATTCCTTGAGATCATAGTTTCAGTTTTTTGTATAGCTTGGGATGCGTTCCCCTTTTGAACGCCTTTTATACATTTTACTTATCAAAAAAAAAAAATGCTTTAATTTGATTATGACGGTTTTGGGCATTAGTTAACAGTCAGATTGGTCATTGTTTCTGGTATTTGAATTGCATGAACATTTCCCTATCGTATTGGACAATTTCCCTAAAAATTTCTCTTCAAAAGGTTTTGATGCATGGAGACCTGAGAGTTGAGACATGGTGTGATGCCAATTCCTCTTTGGCATTTTCAGAATGGTATGCCCTGATGTATGGATTAGTCAGGATCAAGCACAAGTATCTTGATCTGATTTTGATTTTAGAGAAAATTTAACTTTGTGCATTCTAGCATCATGGTTTGCCATTTAATTCACTCAGATTGAAAGAAGAGAAAAAAAATGTTTTTTGTTTTTGTTTCTCTTTTTCCGGCCGCCTTTTGGTCTTGGTTAAGAGTTTGGTCCTGATTTTTTCTAATTGATTTACTATTGTATTGGTCCTTGTGTGTATGAAATTTGCAGCGTTAATCCATTTAGGCTTATCGGAGTTGGATTGACAGTTTGGACTTTTGCTACTGCTGGTTGTGGTTTTTCATTTGATTTCTGGTCCATCACATTCTGCCGCATGTGAGTATATTTCTTTGATTAGCTTGAAAAGGTATGTTGTAACACATGAATTTATTTGTTTGCTTCACTGATCATCATAACATAATTTTTTATTCTTCTTTTTGTTACATTGTTCTTTTTAGGTTAGTGGGTGTTGGTGAGGCTTCTTTTATAAGTCTTGCAGCTCCTTTCATTGATGATAATGCTCCAGTTGCGCAGGTTTTCTTCCTTCCCTTTTGTCTTATGCATGACATTTAATATTTATTATGTTAGAATACATTGTAGAATATATTATTACTATATTGTATAATATATTCTAACCTTATATAGGATCAACCATATATAGGTTTACCTTGTATAGGATTACCATATATATAGTTACCATATATATATAGTGTTTACTTGTTCATCACATATAACCCCTTCTATGTAAACCCCTCTTGTATACATCTCATACACATCAATATCAATATATTATATAGAGTTTCTTTCTTTTGTATTTAATATGGTATCAGAGCCTTTCGATCTCTGGTAAACAATCTACTAGTTTATCGTAGTCACTGCCGGGGATGGCACCATTAGCCCCAGCCCCATCCTCGGCTGGGGCGATCGACCAGCAAACTCACGCTTCTGCACTCCAAGATCTTCATATGCCCCGTCTAGGGAAGCCTCGTTGTCTAAGTCTTCCTTCAGGAAACCCAACGAGATGCCTCGTTTAGAGAAGCCTCGCCTAGGGATGCCCCGTATAGGGAGGCCTCGTTGTTTAACGAGATGCCTTGTTCAGAGATGCTCAACGTGTTGGATTAGCTCCGTCACCACGCCACCATGCGCCTCAAGTGGTAATCCTACTCTTCCACGTTCACACGCACCAGTGGTAATCCCGCATCTCAACGTGTCGGATCAACTCCGTCACCGCGCCACCACGAGTCATCAGTGGTCATCATGCGTTCACACGCGCCTTCAACGCGGTGAATCTTCACAAATTAATCACCCATCAGTTTATAGTAGTTACCATCGGGAATGACAACGTCATCCTGCCACGTCAGCATCGCCGCGCCATGTGTCAGGCCACGTCAGCATCGCTGCGTTTTTCTACCACGTCATCAGTTGCCTAAGTAGCCTCCAAGACATATCAACAGCGGTGCCAGCAGTAGTGCTACGTCACCTGGCACGTCAATTGCCATGTCTGACACAGTTAGCAGTGGTGCTAGCAGTAGTGCCACGTCAGTTGTTAATCGTGCCTCCATCTTCATCATGGGTGAAAACTCATCTTCACCAAATCGCTTCCGCCATGCCACTTTCAAGATCTTAATCATTTCCAAACTCAAAATGGTTTTATTCAATCCACCTTGATTTTGAGGAGGGCTGTTAGAATATATTGTAGAATATATTATTAATATATTGTATAATATATTCTAACCTTATATAGGATTAACCATATATAGGTTTACCTTGTATAGGATTACTAAATATATAGTTACCATATACATATAGGGTTTACTTGTTCATCACACTATATAAACCCCTCTTGTATTCATCTCATACACATCAATATCAATATACAATATAGAGTTTCTCTCTTTTGTATTTAACATATTACACCTTACTGTCTATTAGTTTTTAGTACACTAGATTGTTCTGTACTATTGCATGACGAGTTTTTAATTTTATGTTGAGGCTTGAGCATTGTGAAATTAGGTAGAATACATGTATTTGTATTCGTTTTATCACATATTACATGTAGTCATTTCTACTCATGGACCACCATTAATAGTTAAATGCTTTCAGTTGGTACTTGGTTCTATGATGTGCTTAGCTTTTAAAGAGTTTATTCTCGAATTAGTTAGGATTTTTTTATTTTTATTTTTTTTTCATGGATTGCCACAAGTAAATGTCTTTGTTAACATTTTGTCAGTTGTTGAAAAATGGAAATGGGAACCTTTGAGTAAGGGCAAATTTGAGGTGATCTCTTGTAAGAGATTTTTAGTGGGAGAGGACTTGTCTTGCATTCCATTGGAGCTTTGTGATGCACTAAGGGACACCCTCTAAAAATGTACAACGTTCTTGGGAAAGACATTGACCATTCATAATTTTTTCCCCCTTCCTTGCAAGAAACTCACACACCCACATGCCCCTTTGGGAGTTTGAACCCTCAGATCTTCTACTTTGGAAGGTGAGAAAGTACCACTAGGCCACACAGCCCTCGGTGACCATTCATAATTCAGCGAATAGAGGAATTTTATTTCCAACTGCTTCAATATGTGTCCCCCCATACGCCGGGGGAATTGAAAATTGAAAATTACTTTTCAACCATTGCTTAGCAAGGGAGTTATGGACCCTTCTTCTCTTTGTTTGACATTCAATGGGTTATGTCTAAGGGTGGGAAATTACCCCGCCCTGCCCCTATTTGGACGGGTTTGGGATGGTTTAATCGAGGACGGGGCGGGAACGGACGAGGGGTAAAAATTGCATGGGTGCGGGGCGGGGATGGGAATAAGTACCCTCGCCCGGCCCCGTTTATATTTCATGATTACTTAAATACTCTCTTATAATACTAAAGATACTAAAATATGCTTTCATAAACTAAAACACCAAAACTCTAATATTTTTTGCCTCTACCATTTCATAAACTAATACACTTTATATTGTTTAATAAGAAAAGGGTAAATTACACTGATACTCTTGAGGTTTGCTTTCATTACATGTAGATGTTAAGTTTGGCACATGATACCTACGACCCCCTCCACATTTGACGTGTGATACCCATGATCCCCGAAACCATTCAAAATGACTTTTCTACCCTTGACCTTGTGCAAAGTCTTTTTTGACACGTCAATTGACCGTTTTAACCCAAAAGAACTTGTTATATGGGCAATAATACCCTTTGGTCTTGTAATGTTGGAGTTTTACATAAATAATATTTTATATTTTTTTATTAAATATTTAATTTGATATTATATACATATTTAATATGATCAAGTTGGGATCTACTCTGGCAATATATTTCTAACTAGTCAATGATATTCAGCAAGTTCAAATAGAGGGGGTATGAAGAGAGAACTTTTGAAATAATGGCTTTTAAACCAATTTCCCAATGGGATCTCTGTTCATTGTGAGAGGAAGGCAGATCACTGTGGTCAATTTGGAGTTATTTCATAAGATCATGTGCAGTGGCTGTCCAAATGGGATCTCTTGGAAAAACATTTGGGAACCAAAATGCCATCTAAAGTATCTTTCTTCATTTGAATAGCAGCTTAAGGCAATTCTTATCTAGGCTAGTAACGAGAGTATGAGACTGATGCAGTGCAGATCTGATGAGATCTGAATTCGATCTAACTAGCTGAGTTCTAATTCCATAAAATATCCAAAAATCTAAATAAGATTTGAATACAGGACACCTAAAAAATTAGGGTTTAATGTGTAAATTTATTATCACAAATATTTTACAAATTTATTTATTTATCCTTATAGAAATATACATATATTTGGTAATTCTTAATTTAGTTGGACTCAGATTTTAGTCTGATTGACTATGAGGTGAAGACAGATCTTGAACCAATCTAGACAGTCCTATTCTTGCCTTTGTAATTATGCTGTAGTAGAAAGATGCTTCCAAAGTGGTATTGTATATGTAAGCATGCTGAGGAGGGTGTTAATAAACTTTTGGTGCCTATGTTGTGGCTAGAGAACTTTGGGTTACGTTCTATTTTTCAGGTTTTATGGGTTTATGCATTGTTTTTTAAGGAACTGCAAGGTTGTTGCCTTGGTTGCCAGCAAGAGACTAAAGCAGGTTTAGCGTGCAGCTCTATTATTTTTTATGTAGTGTGTATGGTAAAAGAAGAATAGCTGTACTTTTTGAATGTGGAGTTTTCGGCCCATAGATGGAAGACCTTGTTACTAAATACACTCTAGTTTTAGGTTTTTGGAAACTTTCAAATCTATCTTCTTTGTAAATTCTATAGATGATTTGAGTTTTGTGGAGGGGACATAGCTTTTGTGGGATGAGATCATGTAACCTTGTGTGTACATTGGTCTCCTTTTGCCTTTTTGCAGTTATGTACTTTTATTACCTATAAAAAGGAAAAATTATTGGAGGATATGCTATCAAATTATCTCCATAGGAGTTGGGCACAGGTTGGGCTCTGGGCTTAGGTAAACATTTGATTGAGCTTAGCTTGATTTCAATTTGTCTCTAAAAATGGAAAAAAGCCAATCAGCTAAGCCAAAACTCAGTTACATCCATGCTTGATTTTTTTTTCCATTTTGACCATTAAGTTCCTTTGGCTTATTTGTTTAAGAGAATTCTTTGCTCCCTTTACCCATTTCAACAGTAAGAAATAAGCATGATTTTGCTTGGTGGCATCGTTCTTTAGGTGTATCTTGCTTCCTTTATTCAGTATATATGGTGATTTTGTCCCTGTTTTTATGTCATAATAAGCTGCATAGGCTTGTTAGTTTATATGTTTTGTAATGCTATGCTTATCATAGGAACATTTTTGTCTGAATATCTTAAGTAGAAACCGTTATGTGAAGGAGCTAGTTGGATTGCTCATCACGACTCATAATTTCTGCCCCAACTCCAAATTAAACTCAAATCTAATCTCACTATCAGTAGTACACATATTGAGATTGATTTGAATATTAATATTTGACATGCTCTTTCTGCCACTCTATCAGTAGCTGCTCTATCTTATATGTGTTGCCTATGCATTTACTTTATCATTTTCTATATTTTACACTTATTCTGTTTCTTTGTATCAGAAAACAGCATGGCTGGCTATATTTTATATGTGTATACCCTCTGGAATTGCACTTGGTTACGTTTACGGTGGATTGGTAAGTAGATTTTCTTTGACGCTACTAAAATTTAGGTTCTTTTTGTAAAAGATTACATCATAATTAATGGAGCATCTATGGATCTGTAATAACTGTGTTCTTTTTGTTTGTTTCTGTGACCGTGTCAGTGCTACTCATCAATTCATACCTTATTTGTTTGTGTCACTTGTTGCCATCTTATTTTAACTGCTAGGTTCAATCATATTTGGGGAGATTGAATAACAATAATCTTTCTTCTTTGTTCTTTAGGTAGGAGGTCATTTCAATTGGCGTTTTGCATTCTGGGGGGAGGCAATTCTGATGCTTCCATTTGCTATTTTAGGTTTTGTTATGAAACCTTTGCAAATGAAAGGTGCATACTGTGTTGGGTATTGTTTAGTTTTATCCTGTTTGCATTTTGTAGCTGTTCCTCAACTATTTCTGGATACAGGTTTTGCTCCTGCTGGATCAAAAAAGGCATTGATAGGTGTGGAAACCGCTGTCTCAGAAAGTCAAGGTGCATGTTTTGATTAATATGCATGAAAGTTAATCACTAGTACAAGTTGCACCTTTTGCACTCTTTTCGTTTTGGTAAAAGTCTATTGCACCATATGGATAAATGTGGTTGAGATTTATTGTTGGAGAAAGGGTTGATAAGTGCTGTTAGAATATTTTCAGTAATCAAATATAGAGGGAAACACATATAAATGAACAGATGGAAAAGTTTATTACCAATTTACCTTTCAGTAGTCTTGTTAATGCAAATTTTTTTATTTATGTTGATTTGATGTGACAAAATATAATCAATTTCAAATCTCATTGTTAAACTCTCCATGATGAATTAGTTGCTCATCAGACATAAGCTTTTTAGTTGGACGGCTGCTATCCAAGAAATTAAATTTCAGCACTCAGTAAAGTTTCTCAATAATTGCTGGAAATTTCTATTGCGATTAAAGCATGGGATCCATGTAATGGACTTGAACAGTATTTGGTGCTTTGATCTATTGCCAATTGGTGCAATTGGTAATAATATCATGTTGACCAAAACCCCCCTATGTTTGGCCAAATATCACATTGAAATACCTTTTGAAAATTACTATCACCCACATTACAAACGTTTAGTCCGTTTTTCACTCACCCCCCAAAAGTTACTTTACAGATGTGTCAGACCACTTTTTATATGGAAAAATACATTGTTACCCCATTTACTTTGTGTTGACTTACCAAAGTGCTGTTTGATGTGTAAAATGACATTTCCACCCCATTGGACCCCTGTGAAGTGACCAAAATACCTACTTGAATAAATGTGTGTGTGTGTGTATATATATATATAATTTTACAAGAAATTGAACAAAATCCTAGATAAATAAAACCCAAAAAATAGATAAATAAAACTCAGAAAATAGATCGCTTAATTCTTCACACACACACACACACACACACACACACACTATTTCTTCATATACACACTTATTATTATTATTTTTCTGGGTATACACACTAATTCTTCACATAGACATACATACATATACATACTAATTATTCATATATATATGTATCCCAGAAAATATACACACGCTAATTCTTCATATATATATATATATTTATATACACAGATATATATAGCACTACAGAACTCAAGCTTTGGAGAGAGGCTCCAATTGGAACAAACCTATACTGTTACAAAAATGAGGGTAAGAATGTCATTTCACACCATTTTGATGGTGTCTGTGACATTGAAAAGTGTTTTGGGGTGTGAGTGATTGTAATTTTCGAAAGGTGTTTCAATGTGAAATTTGGTCAAACCTGAGCGGGTGTCAGTGAAATTAACCCATAAATATAATATTCTATTGCTGGAATGAATTTGTTACTAATTAGTCATAATAATCAATGATCTCTCCTGTCATGTTGACAAAGAAATAGCTAGGACATAACAGATTGTCCCTCTGTCCCATAATAAGTGTCTTGCTTTCCTTTGTGGGAAATCCCAAAATACATGTCCACTTTCCCTTTTGAGATGTTTTAAATTGTAAGTTACTTAACTTGTCCTTCAATTTTGAAAATCTTTTCAAATCAATAAAGTAAATGTTTAAGGATTGTTTGGTTAGTTTTGTAATTTTAAAGGGGGACAATGAATTAAATGCATGCCCCCTTTAAAAAGTTGGGTAAGGTTGACATTTATTATGGAATTAAGGGAGTATATGTATGTATATGATTGTCCATGGTTGTGATGATTACTCTTCCATTCTTCTTCAAACTTTTTTGGTGGACTTCCCCGTATCTCTATCTATTTATTTATTTTTTAAATATGGTCGAACTTTTTCAAATTCATATAAACCTTCAATTCATTTTTCCTAATAATTATATTGTTAAGTCACATCCAACTTCTGAGGTTTATGAGTGAAATTTTGGTGAGTGCCCAAAAAGTATAAGCCATGTATCCAAAATTAAAAATATTATATCTAAATTGTGGATACATCCAAAATGTGTTTGACGCGTGTCAGGAGTGTCCAAAAAGTATTGGGGTCCGACACACACACCTCTTCTAACTGGAAGTGTCTGTGCTTCTACGGGTATCTACTGATTTACACAATTCATATGGTCAAATAAGAAAGACAAATGTACTTATCGAAAATAAAAAAATAAGAATGACAAATGCAGGTCTTGAAGATGCATCATTTTGTCTTTAATATGTCATTCATTCAGTTTGTCTTCAGCTGTTATTATCAATATTCTAAATTTCATTGAAAGTATGTCACTTCTTGTTCGAGTCTTTTTGGTTTTTTGGGTGCCTTTGTAGTACATGATGAATTTTACCTTGGCCATAAGAATTTGATCTGAATACTTGTCATGAATACAGATGTTCCAAATGATGTTTCAAAAGGTAGGGGTGACACATTGTCCACAAAGGAAGAGTTCGCAGATGAAAGCTCTAATAAACCTTCCAAGTGAGTCTTCCCTGTCAGCTCCTTATATGTCATATACCACTGACATGGTTGCACATGATTTAATGTAATTTAATTTAATTTAATTTTTTAAGGCTGTAAAACAAACCAATCCATCCATGTTTATGTCAGTTCAAGGGTTGTTTGAGATCTACCATCAAATAAAAAGACCAAACTTGGTCATATATTGACCAATTGAGCAAATGACCACAGCTTGAGCTTGGCTCTGTAAGACAATTATACAACTACTTGAACTCAGCTTGCTAAGCTAGTAAAGACTTGAGGATTATATAAAATGCCAAGCTGCCTGAGTTTGGCTTGCAATTGGCTTGAGAGTTGAGCAATCTAAGTGTTGAAGGATTTATATGTTTAAGTTACACCCTCTCTAATAGCTTAAGCTTTTGGAGTAGATGGTGGTTAACGTGGTATTAGAGCTCGAGTTCAAATCTCACCGTCACCCTAATTAAAAAATTGAAAAACATGTGTTGGACCAAAAGAAAGCCACCATGAGGGGGTGTGTTGAAGGATTTATATATTTAAGTTACACCCTCTCTAATAGCTTAAGCTTTTGGAGTAGATGGTCGTTAACACTAAGCTTGGCGATATTTAGGGAAAAAGTTATTTTTTTATGCTGAACTTGAGCGACCTCTTGCTCTGCTTGATATTTAAATTGTAAGCCTTTCAAGCAAATGATATATAAATTGTATGACTTCATTATATGCCACTGAAATTTTACATGTTTTGTTCTGGATTTCTTTTCATTTCACACTATTTTTATTGCAGGTCAAAAGGTGCAAGCAGTGGTTCGAATCAGTTCTCAAGATTTATGAAAGATATTAAAGTGCTTCTGCTTGAGAAAGTTTATGTTGTAAACGTTTTAGGTACATTATTCACTCTGCTTTACCTTACCTACAAAGCTTTCATGCTGGTTTGGTAAAGATTGTCTTGAGAAGTTCTGATCTTATATTTCTTTTAGGTTCTGATCTTATATTTCTTTTAGGCTACTATATATGTGGTTTTTAATTTTGTTGGCTTTTAATGTGTCATCTCAATAGACTTAGCTCTAGGTCAACTAGTTCATATTTATTGAATTTATCACTCCCTTGTAACATTTAATATATTAACTTAAGTAATCATGTTGCTTTTGCTATGTGTTTCAGCATACTAATGCTTTTACTGAGATTGGCTTGGCTGTTTGCAGGATATATAGCATACAACTTTGTCATTGGTGCATATTCATATTGGGGGCCAAAGGCCGGTTATAATATATATCACATGGTATGTTCTAACACAGTTATAGTGTATTTTGATAATTCAAATTTCATCATATAAAGTGCTCCTTCCTTTTCTTTTCAATTTCACATTATTTGCATAATAAAGATGCTTTTGGAATGAAAAGAAACTAGTAGGGGAGAAAAGGAAGTGAGAAAAAGCTTCAGTTGCTTGTGTCATTTTATTAAAAAGATTTGGCATTTTGGCAGAACAATGCAGATATGATATTTGGAGGGGTTACAATTGTGTGTGGGATCCTGGGAACACTGGCAGGAGGTTATGTTCTGGATTATATGAATTCCACAATCTCCAATGCTTTTAAGGTATGCACTATTGTATTTTAAAAGATAGGCGTTAGTATGGTTATTATAAATAAATTCTAAATGTAATTATCTGTCTCTTGCTTATTTCCGAGCTTGAAATGTTCTGCATACAAAATGCATGACCCATTGTCAGGTTACTTATCCAACTGCTGATCAAAGTTCGGTCATTGTTTTTTTTTTTTTTTTTTTTCTCATTTTCTTTAAATCTTCAGTGAATTCATTTTGTTATAGCATTTGTCTTCTTATATCCTTTGAAAATTTCTTGTCAACTAATATCTCTTTATCACAGACTGAGACTTCTGATGCGTGTGTGTACACGTGTGTGTATATACGTGGTTTTTCTTTTTGGAGACAAATATTGATGTTTATTCTTGATCAGTATGGTAGAGGGTAGGGGTCTTCCAACTATTACCCCAGCAACTAATCATCTTTGTTTTGCCTCTTACAGTTTTAATCATTAAAAGAATAAAAATTAAATGGATAATTTCTTGCTGAATGGATCAATTAAATCTTATGCAGATAAAAGGATCATATGTGATGCGTAAGATCACCAAAGGAGTCGATTATGGTTTATGGTTGACCCAAGATTAGCTTAGTTGTCCTTACTGGGGAAAATAGAGTTAAAAAACTTGCCGAAAAAAGAGTAGCTTAATTGTCAATTTTGCGATCTTGCTGGACTATTATTCCCGTGTGCTTGTTATGGCGGTCAATTATATGGAAAATATTCATTTGATTTGCGGTAATTATGGCCTTGTTTGATTGCTGCATGTAATTACTCCAAACCTCATGGAGTCACTGGAGTGATGAGTGTAATTTTCTCAAATATACACGCACACACACACATATCATGGGCATCTAGTTTTATTAGGAGTTGTAATTTTTTTTTTTTTTTTTTTTTCCCTCTTTTTATTTTTTATTTTTTATTTTTATTATTATTATTTTTTATGCTTTTTGGACAGCTTAAGGTTATAAGATTATTCTTATTGGTTTCAGTTTTATACTAGCATGGTGTAGGAATGATTATTTGTATTATTGAAGTATTTGTACTCTGATGCAGCTTCTTTCAGTGGCAACGTTTGCGGGAGCGGTATTTTGCTTTAGTGCCTTTTGTTTTAAGAGCCTCTATGTTTTCCTAGTTCTTTTCTCAATTGGTGAACTACTTGTATTCGCCACTCAGGTAATTTTCTTACGAAATCATGAAAGATGCTCATGGTATTGTTGTCCATGTACTATTGCAATTACAGGCATTAAATTCTTACTGGTCCATTAAAAAGTTAATGTGATAAATTGCTTGATGAGCACTAGGATTGTGTGGTTCTCAACTCAATTCAACTGAACTTCCCTTGGGAACTGGCCATATGAATCTACTTTTGTCATTTCGCTCTATTTAGTTCCATAATTCCCAATCAAATGACATCTTTTCATGTCTTTCGTAACTACATCAACTCACGTTATTCCCAGTCTTTCTTTACTTCTAGTGATACCCTCAAAATTTTGCTATGTCAATCTTCCTCGTTGATGTATATTTATTGGTTTTTATTGCACATGGTCAAACCATCTTTTTATTCTTTTGCTATGTCTTCACATCTTCTCCTATCTTGCCAAGCATCCATCTCATCTACATTTCAATATGCTTGTTTCATGAATCTGTTTCTTAGCCAACATTATTTCGATAAAGTATAATTGGTCCTGTATATTTTTCATTGAATTTTGCTTTCAATTTGTAGGTATACGTGAATCACATAATATACCAAAATCACTCCTTTGCTTGGCCTATTTCTCGTTGTAATTCTATAAGCAATATCATATATCTGTCTCTCTCTCTCTCTGTGTATGAAAATCAAGACTAGGTAGTGAAAATACTCACACTTTAGTACATTTGAGTAAACAAATTTACTTATAGTATTTGTCTTCTAGCTGAGTTTATGAACTAGGTCTATAACCTGCATTTTCTTTACTTGGCCTATGTCTCGTTGTAATTCTATAAGCAATATCATATCTCTCTCTCTCTCTCTCTCTCTCTCTCTGTATGAATAATCAAGACTAGGTAGCGGAAATGCTCACTCTTTAGTACATTTGGGTATTTAAATTTACCTTTTGTATTTGTCTTCTATCCGAGTTTATGAACTGGGTCTATAACCTGCATCCTTGAAGTTGACGAACTGAAACTGTGAAACCTGTCATGTATTAAGTTATGTGAATCTTCAACCTTAGCTGTTACGAATGGAATTGCATTCATGACTGTTCAACTTCGCTGAACGTAAATTTACTTAAGAAGTCCAAGGGTATTGCACTCTCTCCTGCAAAGGGCGATCTTAGTGGCGCATATTGCATGCCTCTCAACACGCATCTTTTAGTATTTTTTCGGTTTGAGTTTTCTCATTGCATGTAGTTATGGTGAGAGAAAACTTAGTTGTAGAATATGTGATGCCCAATTGCTGCCATAATATTGCTGCTCTGTAACATCTTCCTCTAACCATCCTGGCATCTATCGGCTTAATTATCATTAGTTAAGATTGGTATAGCAATTCCTCTGCTTTAGGCTTGCCTAATGTTACAAAAGAGCATTAATTGGCTAAAAAAATTCGATGTAACTATAGCAGCTCAGTTTCATTTTGGAATAATCTATTTCAGTTGCCTTTAGCTTATTGTGTTCTAAAGTTGTGTGACATGGACATGACACAAACACATACACCCGTTGACGTTGGCAAACCTTAAAAGGCAGGTCAAGAACATGGAGAGGAGACACAATAAAATTTATATTTTCTACGATTGATTTATAGCATAATTAGTAGATTTAATATTTTAGGACCATAACATGATATATAACAAATAGATCATAATAAGAGCACGGTGTGCCTCTTTATGCGTTTTTTCATGTATATATATGTTTATGCATGCATCAGTAAAACATTCCTAAATATTTTATTTTTTAAAATATGGTCAAACTTTGTATAAATTTTATATAAATGGTAAATTTGATTTTTCGTACTATTATATATTTTCCCTTTGCTAAAAAAACTCTTATCCAATGTTCAACTTTCATTGGTCATATGTTAACACATATCCGAAAATTGTTGGCCCTGTGTGAAATTAAGAATTTTATTTTGAATTTGTGAATACATTTAAAGATGTTTTATAAATGTGGCTGAGGGTGTCAAAAAGTGTCTGAATCCTGCACATGACCAAAATGGTGTTGATCATGGCTCATCCTATAAGTGTCCATGTTTCTAAGGTTGTATTACTAATTAATTATAGTGACAAAAGAGGCTGCAAAACATTTATTTGGAGAATGGAGATTCGAACTGTGGTATTGTAGTGCCATAAAGTACTGTATGTTACATAGATTGACAATTATTTAGTGGCCCAATGTAGGCTGACTTATATTTCATTTGTTCAGCTTTTCCCTGTTTGGCATCAGATATCAAAATATTCTGAACTGAAACCGATCCTAATAATGCATTATTATTATTATTATTCTAAATATGATATTTTAGTCCTTGCATTTATATAATTTTTGAAATGTATGTGCTTTAAGAGTTTACATATTGATTAAAAAACTAAATAATTCTTAACCTTTTTCCTACAGTGTAGTCTTAATTCAAAAAATAGAGAACTTAAGCAGCCAAGTCAGAGTCTCAACTCCATCAAAGGAACCTCCAAGATCTTACTTGCTGTAGTATGAGGCCTGAATTTCAAATAACTCTTTTCACCTTGTTATTTGAATTTCATACAAATAAGACTTTCAAATCATTGTTAAAACCCAAACCTAAATTAATGATTGAGACAAAAAAAAAAAAAAATCCCCCTTGGCAAGAACTTACACACATCTGACTCTATGGGGACTTGAACCATCACCATTCATTTTGAAAGACTGAGGAGATACCACTAGGCTACAACTCCTGGAAAAATACTGCACTTAGCAGGGCATACCATTTAGGACAAGCAGAAAGACCATTTATTACTTTGCAATTAACTAGATACTTCTTTTGGTTGAAAGCTATTAGAACAAATTCTTTTCTTTACAAGACGGGAAGTTTGAATATGCTTGGTATTAACATTCTGTATTTTCCGTTGCAGGGTCCTGTGAATTATGTGTGTCTCCATTGTGTTAAACCAAGTATGAGGCCGATATCTATGGCCATGTCTACTGTCTTGATTCACATATTTGGTGATGTACCTTCCTCTCCACTTGTTGGAGTTCTCCAGGTTTGCCTTTGTAGTTCCCGTAGCATATAACATTGCAAATGGTTAGACTATTATAATTTATATTTTTTAAAACTTGTCCACATCTCCTTTGGTATAAAGTAGTAAGACGTTGGAGATAATTGTTGATATTTTGGGGTTAAATTATTCTAGCTTTAGTTTTGAGGGTGCCGCCTTTTATGGAAGTATACAATGGAAGTCTATTAAATTATATTCGGCAAGTCACTGTGAGCTACTTTTCCATATAGAAACTGGCGGTTTACAACACATTAGGTAATTGGCAGTTGTATCAGCACTGTCTGGCAAGGTAGAAACCTATTTGTAAGCAAGGTTTTAGGACTTAGCCGAATCTTGGCATATTGGTAGTCATAACGGACTCGGCCAAAGTCGATACCAATTCTCATCAGTATATCAATTCCACTGTATTTCACATAAGACTTGGTTGATATGGTGCTGTATCAGCCGATACGGTCTGTATCGGTAATGCAGCACCTGGGGTTTAAAAACTTTATTTATTCCCCTCTTTTCCATTTTGTCCATTCATCCAGCTACACACATCTCTTTCACATGCAGTCCAAAGGGTAGATCAAACCCCTAAATCTCAGTATTCAGAAGATTTGAGTACAAGACTTGAATCAAAGTCTTCTAAGTTCCAAATATATGAGATATTTGGTATGTTTTTCCAAGTTATTGAATAAATTTATGCTTTTTTACTTATCTAATATAAAAATAGTGATTATAATGTATGAGAAACTTTAGTTGACATAAATATCTGTATATGTGGATTTTGTTCTCCTCATATATGATATTGATATGCTAGGATGTTGTCTCATGTAATCTATTTGGTAAAAAGATTATTTCATATCTAAAGTGCATTTTTGTCCGAAATTATGTAAGAAGTACAATTGGTATGCTTTTACTGCAGGCAAAGGTGTAAATTTCCATGCATAGACTATTACTCATATTTAACAAAATCCATTAAACAGTAGCATGGGGGGATGCCTATCCTTTTGCCCCTCCCAGAGAGGAAAGGAAGGAAAATTCAACCTCCTAAGAAAAAGCTCTGGAGCTGGCCCTAGGATTCGAGGACCCATTTCCGTGGTAAAAAGTATGTAGGGTATATTCTAAATCAAGATGTGCAAGAAAATAAAAAATAAAAAATCACTACTACGACAATTGAGTTTGTTGCACAATCCTCGTTATACCCCTCATCCATTACACAATGTTTGTGTCCATGTTCCTTATTTTTGTTTAACAAGTCAATGTTATTCATAAGCATCTTTGTAGTGAAAAAATGGACTTCATTGAGTTTGTCATTAAGGATGGGTTTGAATAGATTCCAATAATTTTCAGAGATATACTCATTCATGTGTATCATACTAGAAAACGATTTATACGATGTGATATACTCATCCATGTGTATCATACTAGAAAACGATTTATACGATGTGGGTGTATGTGTCTTAAAACAATCATCATCGCCATCATCCTTAGTTTTATTTCATATGAATGGGGTTGGCCACTTGAATTTGCAATTTTTTTTTTCTTATTATATTCTCCTCTAATATTTAATTTTTGAAGATCATTTTATATTTCATTATCCCATGTAAGTTTTGGCTAGTCTCTATATGCATAAGCAATGTTAAATATACTACCCCTGTCCCAAAAATAATGTCCATCTTTCCATTTTTGGCTGTGCCAAAATAAATGTCCCATTTGAAAAGTCAAAGTACTATTTTTTTGTAACATTACCAATTTAACCTTCTTGCATTGAATCCATAAAAAGTAAACCATCACATCTCTGTCTATTGTGGATAATTTGGTAATTCATTCACTACCAATACAATAAAAAATAATAAAACTCAACCTCTTAAAAAGTTAGATTATCAAAAAGAGACATTCTTTTTGGGACGGGGAGAGAGTATAATGTTTTAGATTCTGTAAGGAGTAGGATGCTAACCCCAAGGGAGAATAGGAGTGAAAAAGCATGATTTGACCACATGAGTTGAACCCAATACGAAATTAGTGGATTTGGGATTGACCTTTATCACGTTCATGTCATAATTGTGTCAATCCACTTAACCAATTTAATTAATAGTATTGTTTTCGGGTTTAAGGGAACAACTCATTTAATTTGATTTCATCTATTTGATTAATGTTAAGCAGGATTGACCAATGACCCATTTTAACTTGTATAATAGGTAATATATTTGAATTAATGTGTATGATAGTGAAACCCTTGGCCAATTGTAGGGAAAAAATTAGTCATATATTATTTTCAATTCAATATTTTATTTTTTGTTTACATTTTCATTCTATAACTAAAAAAAAAAAATAGTAAATAGATTCTTAAACGGGTTATGTTGGCTTATAAATTATACCCATTTATTACACAGATCATATGGGTCGTGTTGAGCGTTGAAAATGACACAAATACAACGCATTCATGTAGCAGAAATGAGGATGCTACACTGGATGATAGGAATCCCTAGAAAAGATAATATAAATAATGAATGTGTGAGGGAACACCTATGGTCATGTTTAAAAGGTAAGCTACTAAGCATCAAAGAGGCTGACCAAAGCTTAAGTGGAATGAAGTAATTAAAAACGACTTAAAAAACTTAAATTTAAGAGAAGACATGGTGAATAATAAGAAACAATTGAAAAAGAGTATTCATGTGACCAACTCCATCCATATGGGATAAAGGCAAGGATGATGATGATGATGATGTCATGTTACCTATTTAATAAATGGGTCGTATTCTTGAAATGTATAATAAAAGGGTTATGTTTGGGTTGACCCATATAACAAAATATGCTCATTTCGACACAACACGAATATAGCCCTGTAAACATGAACTGCTGCCCTAACAGCAGAACAACCATATCCAAAAAAAAAAAAAAAAAGGAGGGAGAAGAAAAAAGAAAATACACTTAAAAAAGTGACACTAGGTGTCCATTTTAGGAAAACAACTTAGAAGTGAGGTAGGAAAATAGAGATTTTCTCTGCAGTTTAGGTCTTTTTTTCTTTAATTGGTGTAATGCTGAGGTACCGTGAAGACGACGACTCTGTGGATGAACTGAATTGCTGGATTTTGTAATGCTAGGTGGGTTGGGCTTGGTGGGAAGAGAAATTCCCGGATGTCATTCAGGCGGTTTTAGCAAGGGTCACCTCTGATCATGTTCCTTTGGTTTTGGATTGTGGGGGTTTGTGTTCTCGAAGATCTCCGTTTCGATTTGAGAATATGTGGTTGAGAGCGGAGGAATTCCAAGGGAAAGTTCGATCTTGGTGGGAGGGAGCAATTGTTACAGGTTTTCCCAGTTTCACGTTAACAAAGAAGTTAAGAGCTCTCAAATTCGATCTTAAGAAGTGGAATAAGGATGTTTTTGGGAATCTCGAATGAAGGAAGAATAGAGTTCTTGTTGAATTTTCCGAGATTGATTGTCTTGAGGAGGCTGGTGGGGATGTGGAGTCTCTACGTTCTAGGAGAGTCTCCTGTCAGGCAGTTCTTGCTGAGATTTCTAGTATGGAGGAGATCTCCTGGCGACAAAAATCCCGGGCTCTTTAGCTAAAAGAGGGAGATTGTAACACAAATTTTTTTCATAGACTAGCTAATGCTCACAGAAGGAGTAATCACATAGGACGAATTCTGGTAGAAGGTGTGGAGTTATGGAGGGAGGAAGAGGTGCGTAATGGGATCGTTTCTTTCTATCAAAAGCTTTACGCCGAGTTGTTAGCTTGGAGACCCATACTTGACGGACTCTATTTTGAGGCTATTTCTGAGATGGATAGAGATGGGCTTGAGATTCCTTTTACTAAAGATGAAGTTCTAAAGGCTTTATCAAGTTATAATGGGGACAAAGCTTTGGGGCCTGATGCGTTTACTATGCGTTTTCTAATGGAAAGTTGGGCGGTAGTGAGAAACGAGGTGATGGGTACATTTCAGAAGTTTCATTCTACTAGCATCTTTGAGAAGTCGCTAAATGCCTCATTCATTGCCCTTATCCCTAAGAAGGGAGGCGCTCCTGACATTAAGGATTTTAAACCAATTAGTTTAGTGGGTTGTATTTACAAACTCATGGCTAAGGTGCTTGCTGTAAGGACGAGGGAAGTAATGTGGATGGGATTATTTCGGATTCCTAGAATGTTTTTGTTGGAGGACGGCAAATTCTAAATTCAGTTCTTATTGCAGGAGAATGTGTGGATTCCAGATTGCGAAGTGGTGTCCCTGGAGTTTTTTGCAAATTTGATATTGAGAAAGCGTTTGATCATGTGAATTGGAATTTCCTACTATATTTATTACAAAGAATGGGGTTTGGAAGTAGATGGAGGAAATGAATTAGGACATGTCTCTCGTTTGTCAAGTTTTTAGTTCTTGTGAATGGATCTCCTGTTGGTTTTTTTTAGGTGTACTCGGGGCTTAAGACAAGGAGATCCTTTGTCGCCTTTCCTTTTTCTAATTGTTATGGAGGACTTAAGTAGACTTATGCGAAGAGCAGAGGATCTTGGCCTTATTAAGGGATTTAGGGTGGGCAGAGATTTAGTCCATCAAGTGGAAATCTCTCATCTACTTTTGCAGACGATACCTTGGTTTTCTGTGATGCTGATGTGTCTCAACTTAGATATTTGAGGTGCATCCTGGCTTGTTTTCAGGCGGTTTCGGGGCTGAACGTCAACGTAGCTAAGAGCATGCTTGTCCTGGTAGCGAATGTTCAGGATATCTCTTCTTTAGCTGCAGTCCTTGGGTGTAGGGTGAGTTATTTTCCTATTCCTTATTTGGGTTTGCCCCTAGGGGTTTCTTCCAGGAGAGTGGGGAGTTGGGATCCTATGATTGACAGGTATGCGAAGAGATTGGTAGGATGGAAGAAGCAATACTTGTCTAAGGGGGGTAAAGTCACTCTTATAAAGAGCACTTTATCGAGCCTTCCCACATATTTTTTATCTATGTTCCAAATTCCATGCTCCTTTGTTGATAGGATTGAAAAAATTCGAAGGGATTTCCTTTGGGACGGAAGGGGAGAAGAGTTTAAGTATTACCTTATTAGATGGGAGCAAGTTTGCAAGCCCATGAAGTTGGGTGGTCTTGTTATCAGAAGATTGGTTCCTTTTGATCAAGCTCTCCTGGGTAAATGGTTGTGGCGATACGGGAGGGAAAGACATCATCCTTGGCGAAGGCTAGTCTCACGTTGGTTTAGGAAAGAGATTGGTTGCTGGTCTACTCGTCTGGTTTCTCTTGTGGGAGGAGTCGGGGCGTGGAAATCCATTCGGAAGGGATGGGATGTCTTCTTTTCTCACATCAGATTCAAAGTTTGTGACGGCAGATGTGTTCGTTTCTGGGATGATCTTTGGTGTGGTGATCAGCCTTTATCTCATACATTTCCCATATTATACAGTATTGCAGTTGACAGACACGCCTACGTAGCTGACTGTTATCGACTTGATAGTAGTGGGATTACGTGGGACGTGCACTTTCGGCGTTCCTTTCAGGATTGGGAGTTGGACGAGGTATATGTTGTTCTGGATCAGCTGTATCGGCAGGAGGGAGTTGGTAGAGGTTGTGACGCTCTGACATAGATCCCTTCTTCCCATGGTCGTTTCGAAGTGCGATCTTTGTTCTTATGCTATCTAATTTTGATAGCCTTGACTTTCCGTGGAAGACCATTTGGCGTTTTATGGCTCCAACTAGGGTAGCATTCTTTGTCTGGACTGCTGTATGGGGTAAGATACTGACGATTGATAATTTGAGGAAGAGGGGGAATTGTTTTGTTAATTGGTGTTACCTATGCAAGTAAGATGGTGAGTCAGTTGATCATATCCTCATGCATTGTCCCGTGGCGCACGACGGCTGGAATCTTATTCTTGGGTTGTTTGGCATGCGTTGGGTAATGCAACGTTCTTCTAAGGATTTGATTCATGCTTGGAGAGGATGTCGTGTGAGAAGAGGTGTACGCGATTACTAGAGAATTGTCCCACATTGCGTTTGGCGGTGTATCTGGAAGGAGAGAAATAGAAGAATGTTCGAAGGAAAGGAGTCGTCTACAGCGACGCTAAGACTTTATATTATAATTATGATTCGTTCTCTTTTCAATTGTGTGAAGAGGAGTTCTTGCTCCTCTTCCGATGATTTAATTATTTTTTTGGATTCTTTGGGGCCTTAGCCCCCGATTCCACTTTTGTATAAGGGACGCGTTCCCCTTTTGAACACCTTTTTATTTACTTCTTACTTACCAAAAAAAAAAAAAAAAATTTGGTGTCTTTTACGCACACAAAAAGTGCTATATTAGTAAAAAAATGTGGATAAACTCTTATAGTTAGGGCCTATGATGTCTGGCTAACTTGCTAATTAGTGCAATCAGCTATGAAAGAGGGAATAAAATCTGTAACAAGGGAAAGGAGAGAGCTAGATCAAACTAAAGTATAGCGTAAATACCCACAACTCAATCCTAAAAGAAAGGGAGAGGTAGAAAGCTGTTGTAGCAAGCTGAATATATTGATTATACCAAAAGCTGCTGAATATAACTTGGAACAACTCTTTTATAGGCCACATGGGATGCCCATCAAAGATTCAATCCTAACCCTTCATATAAATATAATAGGCACATGACTTACAAAATAGAAGAAGAATGACAAAAATATTCTAACTAGAGCTTAAGGTAAATATTAAACATGAAATTGTTTGCCACAAAAATTATGTTCATTCCAAGTGGAAGGTGGAAGGTGCGGGCGTGCCAAACTATGTTCCAAATCTGGCTGTGAGAGGCTTGAAGATCAGGCGATTGTGGAGAGCTTGGAATGACCGCTTCCGCAAGGTTCTTTTTGTCTTTGTGGAAAAGGGCTTCGGAAATGGAAAGATGGAATGGAAAAGGATGTAAATACTTGATGAAAGTGGTGATGGAAGAATGAAATGAACTGAATTGAAAGTCTGAAATTTATTAAACTAGGAACTAAAGTACAAGTGCCAGAAATTAAAGGAATTGAAATACATGTGTGAGAAATTAAAGTGCTTGAAAAGTAAAGAGTACAATAGGAAAAGATAAAGTGCATGAATTGAAATGATAAGTGAAAATAGGATTTGTTTGATGTGTGTGGAGATGTCTTTCATTCTGTTAAAGTCTTATTTTTATCGCCAATGGCAGTTCCATCAGCAGTCGAGATGCTTCCAAGTGGAACGTCTGATTTGTGCCATGTGGAACGTCTGATTTGTGCCACGTGTCCCATGTCTCCCTTAGTCTTTTCATAATGTTGACACATGTAAAGACATTATCTCCCATGAATTATAGCATTGGAGGAGTGGGTTTGGTGGTCCAATGCCAATTGAAGGCTTCTAGCCACGTTCTGGAACTGCCAAGTGGAATGGACCACTACCTTCCAACTTCAAGTAACCGCCTCCAAGTGCAGGTAATTGCTTCCTTCTTTGCTTGCCATGTATCCCATTCAATAACAACTTTCCAACTGTAGAAAACTGCTATTATCTGCCTGCCACGTGTCCACCCCACTTGGAAAGTCACACCTCCTTCCAACCGGAGGTAACTACTTCCCTCTTTGGCTGACACGTGTCCCTATGCAGCTACTTGTACCAATGGCTTCCTTTGATGAAGCCACGTGTCGCTTCAAGATTGCATCCTTATCTGCATATCACCCTTTCACTGGAAACGACCACCCTTCCATTGGAATTGGCCATGACAACCTTTCCAACTGGAAATGGCCGTTATGGTGTATACAGAAATGAAGACAAATTTATGACTTAAATAAATGACTTAAAACCCATAAACAGTCACACAATCTGATCAAATCATCAACTGCCTCTATTAATGCAATCTCAGTTTAGTCTTCTTACGGTGTTCAACTTTTTGAAGAAAGTCCTCTTCTACTTGCGCTGCACACTAATGGTTTTTTATATTTAAGACTATTGTACTCTAAGTGCGAATGACCGCTGACTGAAGCTCAATCGTGAAATGAATAGTGCAAATTTGACTACCCTGATATTCACCTTGACAGTGCCTTTAGACCAGGGATCTAAATTTGATACCAGGATGTCTAATTGTAAATGAATTCCATGCTAGCATCTAGACAAGTTAACTACAGAAATGTGTGAAATTTTAATTGAGAGTTTTTAGAATTATGAATGTTCTTAGATTCTGAATTATAACTTAAGATTATAATATCAAAGTTGAAGGTCAATTGATGAGAGATTGCTGGAGGTGATAGGGATAGGAGATATGTTGAAAGCGCCGGTTCTCTGCCCCTGCGGGGATGGAGCGACAGAAATTTTGACAATTCAAGAGAAGGTCGTGGCTAGACAAGACGTTTATCATTACAATAGGTGTCAAGTGGAAGTGCGGAGATGTATGCAGCTGAGGCATGCTAACAGACCGGTACACTTGAACCTTGTTCCTACATGACCTGATCAATTCGATCAGGCACTCGCCATCTATTTTCATTGTTCAACTCTTTAAAATTAAGGGTTGCACTTCTTGGGGAAGAAAATTGAATTTTTGGACCGCAGCTTATTGAAGCACACATCCTAAGGAAATGACAATCCACTCTTGTGCTTCACCATTCTTATTGCATAGTATTTCATGCTTCATATCTACAAAATAAACCCTTAGAATGGTCATATATACACAAGATTTATCAAAAAAAAGAACGGTCATATATATACAATGACGATTATATATCTATGTCCTACTGAACAATGCTTAGCTTTCACTTTCAATTTTGCAACAATGTTATTCTTTTTACTCTTAATTAGGTTACCCTCAACCATGGTGCAATGAGCACACTGATGCTTTTTGACTGAACCTGCTTGTTCAGCATATGTAAATGCTGCAATGTTGAATTCCATATGCCCTGAATAATAATGCCCAGCCTGGAAAGGACTTTGTATCATCTCAAACTGAGATTCCTCATTGAGTTTATTGATGGGTGAATGCACAAATCAACTAGTAACACACTGCATATGCAGTGGTAGGCATGGCAAGGACAATTTATTGATCCCCCAAATCTTTTGAGTCTACAGTCTCAACATGATATATGCTTGAATTTGCCAAAAATATAAGATACATATTTAAGCTTATGATGATTGAATACGTAGAATGATGAATAAGAATAAAATCTTGCTCTCTTATGTGTGCTTTCTTTTGATAAACAGTGCGTATGTAGATGCAAAAACACCCTTGAATTTAGCGACTAATATTGTTTGGGTTGCCATACAAAAAAAATATATATAAAGGGAAATACTTCCATTTTATCTATTCTGAGATGGGAAGTAGGTGTTCCGAGGATGCAAATGTTGTTAGACCTGTTTTACGTGTCTTGTACCTTAATAGACCTTGTGCTTGATAAATTGGAGTCCTATAGAGTAGACTTGCCTAAATTAGCTTGAAAGTTGCACTAGTAATTGGGGCCATTTCTTGATGTAATGATAAAAGTTGGGGGTGCAAGTGTAAAAATGAAAGTTTGAGTCCGTAAGCAGCCTTTTTTGTACAAAAATAATGCCAAATACTAGTTCTTTCTCCGGTCTTCCTCTCCCAGCTCCCCACATAATTGCGTAATTGGGATGAACACTTGGCAATAGCCTTCTTTAATCGTCACTCTTTACGGTTGTGACTCTTTACGGTTATGACTTTTTACAAACTCTCTATTTGTACTTTCTTGTTTTATTTATTTGTGATAATTTTCTGGTTAAGTTATTGATTTTTGGAGTCTCCTCTTCAATATTAACGATTAACCTTTTGATAAAATCACTTTCCTTTTTGAACCTGCTCTTACTAGTAACTAACTGGCCTTATTTTGGACATGCATTGCAGGATCATATTAACAACTGGAGGAAAACTGCTCTGATTTTGACATCTATTCTGTTTCTGGCATCTGGAATATGGTTTATTGGTAAAGTTATTGTCTGTTAATTCCCAATGTCGTAACAAGAATTTACTCAGAGTAGGCACTTGGTAATTGGCTAGCATCTTCCTAAAGGCAGATGGTATATTGGTAAAAATGCAGCCTATTTGTATTCATAAAGACCCTACAATTGACCATGCATTGACACTAAATGATATGGTTAAACTTATTCTTTTTCTTCTTTTCTTATCAAAAGAAAAAGAAGGGAAAAAAAGGACCTAGCTCTTTTACTTAACCGACCACGTGGAGTTTTATATGGGTGTTGAGCCTGAGCGCAGCACTGTATGAACCTCCCGGTCAATAAAGAGTGAAAACTAGTGACCCTTTCATTCTCTCTCTTTACGATCCCTTTGATGGGTAAGCATTGGAATAATGGTTATAACCCATTAGGCAAAGATTTAACCTCCCCAATCACTTCCAATAAAATTTTGTAATCCACTTCTACTTTGGCAGGTATCTTCCTTCACAGTGTGGACAGATTCAATGAAGATAGTGAGAATGAAGTAGCCATAAGCGACAGGTCAAACACAACACCGTTGCTTGAAGAGAAGACAGCAGAAACAACCGAACCTTCTGGTGAACCATAAAGTGCTAGTCAGAATAACAAGCAATCGATTCTGGCTGTGCGCCTTACATGAATTTCATGTACATGCTCTGCTTGATGCTTTTCTTTTCTGTAGATAACGCTCCAATTGTGGTTAGAATCTGTTCATATTGTTGATAGTTTTAAAAGAACGGTGCAAGATTTTGAAATGATTCTCTTAACAAGGCTTCGGCAGTTTTAGGGCTTACATTTCTAATTTGTTTGCTGTAAGAGGGTGTGTAATCCTCATGTTGAATGCTAGTTTGATTAATAATAGTTCTTTGAAATAATTTTTCAGAATACCCAACTCACTCAGTATTTTTCTAGCTGTAAAGGACTGAAGCATGTATCTGATGGAGTGATTGTTGAACTTTAAGAAGCATTTTCTATGCTAGTTCAGCTGAACTGGGTTACTGAACTAAACTTTTAGATGGTACATTGGGCATATTTGTGTTCAATTCATCTTTACTCTTTAGGTAAACCTCATGAGCTTGTTGAATGTTGCTAGAATTGTATGGTATTTTGATGGATCTTTGCTTATCAAAAAATAAAAAATAAATGGGTGCTGCTGTTGCGTTTGTTTTCGTTCAAAATCTGTATGACTTAAATTTTACAATTTTTGCGCGCTCACTCTCGCATTCGCTCTAGCTCCCTCACTCATTTTGTATGATTTAGATCATAATCTTCAATTTTATTGATCTTTGTAGTTAAAACTTAAATTATTATAAAAAAACAATAAAAAGAAAGAAATATTAAATAATAATAGAGAATATACTTTTTCCAAATTGGAGTAGGTTTGGGTTTTTAATTCTCTTTCCAAATTCATGTCTAACTTAATTAGAATGCATTCAAACCCTTTCCATTAAGAGGTGAGGGTAAAATTATCATCCACATACAAATCCTTGTCACTATTCTGTGTGACACTGTTAATTTTGTTGAAAAAGATAAATTGTATTCAAATTTAAGAGTAATGATAAAGAGTACAAAAGTACAATTACGACTAATTTATGTGTTGAAATTGACATCAATTAGAGGAATTTTAAACTTCATTGAACAAAGTCATCATTCTCACAATTTAAAACGTTGCACTTGACATTAAGTTTTTACTATATATAATGATATTTACTTTTAACTATCATAAATAATATTTGTCTAATATAATTTTTTTATTCTTTTAATATAATCACACCAAAATTTGTTTATCCCACTATATTAAAAAGATAAAAAGTTCTTGAAAAGTAGGTTTCACTCTTTTTACTATTGTACCAAGTGATACAAATATTTGAAAAAGATAAAAATATATATATATATATAGAAGAAAGAAAATTTCTATTTTTGGCGACAACAGGTTTTGTGAGACAACCGTGAGTAGGTTGTTTGCACATGAAAAAAACGGGTGTCCACAGCAAACTGTTACTTGCTCCTACCGACCAGAGGAAGTCAACAATGAACACTAACCTCAAATCTATTGGTTATGAAACGGTGGGCAGCTACACGTGTCAAACACCCACAACCAAGCTAGTGACAATGATCAACTGAACTCAAGCCCACTGAATCTGAGTTCACGGGTTGGTCAGTGGTGTCTCTATGTGGTTGAATGAGGCCATCTCATCGCCCTCAACCTTTTTCACATAACCAACAGCGCCCACAGGCTCAAATAACCTGCCTACTCTCTCAACTGCGTCAGTGTGTGCTTATATATATATGTGTGTGTGTGTGTGTGTGACACACATTCAGAATTGAAATCAATGGCACCAACAGCAGCAATGCTCATACTGGGTTACCACAGCAGATCAGATTCGCAGCCATCTCTTTCTCATACTCATCCTCATCCTCGTACTCCAGCAACTGAACCATTTTTTAAGGTGAAGACCTCAGTGGTGAAGTGGGTTTCGGATCACAAACCCATCTCAACAAAAGAAAGATGTGAAGCAAAACAGTCCATGGTGGATCACCAGTCATTCTCTGATTCTGCAATGGAAAAGAAGTTTCAACAAGACCTGCAACTCAGCTGCTGGTAACCGAAGATTGGCGGCAAAGTAGTATATGTTTAGGGGCTGGAAGGACCTGATATGTGTAAATAAATCTTGCGCAACTCTTAATGTAGGTACCTTTTATGATATTACTATACAATCCTTTGTATATATGTTTTTATGTTTAGAACTAGCTTCAAGTGCTGGCAACAGAAGCAATAAAATATTCCCACACCACACACTGATCCCTGCCTTTGGCCTAGCTATCATATTTTTTACACAAATAAGTGAAACTCCTGTCTCGTTTGTTCTTGGTTGCAAGCAAATACCTCTCTCTCTCTCTCACACACACAAGAATCTCTCTCTCTCACACATTCAAACAAACAAAACAAGAATCTCTCTCACACATTCATACAAACACAAAACAAGAATCTCTCTCTCTCTCTCTCTCTCTCTCTCTCACACACACACACACACACACACACACACACACACACAAAACAAGAAGTTCTCATTTACCATTTTTTTTTGTTCTATAACGCACATCATGCATGTGTAATTGGCAGAAAAGTCACTCCTTAGGAAATGTATCATGGGTAGATCACATCAACAAAGTGAATGTATTACAAGTAAAAAGACATTTATCCAACAAGGTTCATTCCCCAATTGATATTTCACCTATCCCATGGCAATGGTAGAGGCTTCTGTTTTTCCTGTCGGTACAACAATCTTATCATCCTACAAGTCTTCCAGTCATTTGCAAATGTAAGGTGTTCACTGGAGTCTGGTGTATATGAAATAGACATGAGAGAGAGTGTAACTTGTTAGGTTGGGTTAAAAAGCTCACCAAGCCTGTCTCTTCGGTTGGTCAACATTCTGTGCCACAACCATGTGTATATTTTACGACTACTTGAGCATTGATGCACTTTTACTCTCATAAAAGCAAGATTACCAGAATATTTCTAAACGCAACCTCTTTCTTTTTTCATTTTTCAATTTTGTAGTTTAGATTTTATCCCCCAATCCAAAATTTAAGGAAACCTCAAAGAGTTATTATCATGAAAGATATCACTTGATCATGAGCACAGACAATCTCTCTATGGAAGAAAGTAATTTTATTTATTGGTCAAATAGAGTACCGACATTTAATCAGACAAAACAAAACAATATTCGTCGAAAAATCCAGCTCAGTAACAGGAAAAAATTGCTTTTCATGTCAACAAATGAAATTACCAGGCTTGCAACAGAGAAGATCTATGGTGTCTCACTGAGAAGAAAACAAGCAGAAGCCACAGCACCTCCAGCTTCACAAGTGACATTCACGCAAGAGATAGCTTTCCAGCAGGAATAGATCTCTTGACAAGTTTAGCCCAGGACTCATTGGTCTCAGTGATGACCTTAAGAGCATAATCCTGTTTATTACAAACATGTAAACAAAATATATATATATATATATAAAAGAAAAGAATAGAATTATATAAATAAAAGAAAAGAAAATAATGATAATAGGAATTGAATAGTACAATGGGTTTCTTGCTCCATTACTGATAATGGATTTCCTTGTTGAGAATATTAAATTACAAATTCTCTCTCATTTTGGTTGTCCTATAACTCTACAAGTGCTTGAAATCCAATATACGGATATTTATATAAATAAGTTCTCTGCATGTATTAATGTACTTGTGCTGCATCACATAAGTAAATTCCATGTGCATTGCATCAAAGGGAAAGTTACTTATGCAACATGAAATTGAAGTCACAAACAATGGAGAGATTGATTTATCAGAGGTGCCTTTATTGAGGCATCAAACTTCTTTTTTTTCTTCTTTTTCTTTTGCTTTTATTATTTTCCATTTTAGCAAAAAAAACTCGCCCACCGATGGGTTTTTTTTTTTTTCCTTAGCAAAAAGGTCACAAAGTTAAAGGTTGACTAAAACTCTCAACTTTTAATTTTGGAAGGTGAATTTTGGAAGGTGAGGAAGTACCATTATTGCTGAGGCACCAAACTTCTAAGTAAACAGAAAATTAAAATACCTTTTATTCCTAAGAAGCAGAAGTAAACAGAAAATTAAAATTACTTTTATTCCTAAGAAAACTGATCAGAGATCCTTGCGGCTATCAAGCTGCTTCACTATGGTAGAGAATGATGTCATGCAAATGGAGAAATACTGGACATAAGCAATGAAAATCAAAGGAGGTATACAAACTAGGTACCTTGTTTGCTGCTTTGTTGCCAAGACCAAACTTGTTAGCAGGTTTTCCATCAGGGATCTTGTAGTCTCTAAACCAGTCCCTGATTGCGGTAAGAGTCCCCTGCATAAATTGCGCGATTAGACATGTGTTAATGACAAACAATAACTGCAAAGTTACATACTGACAAAATCAATTTTAAGAAGTTTAGCTTATATGACTTTATGTACAAGAAGGAATAAAGACCCATAGGTTTGCTGTGCTACTGTACCTTATCCCTTGATTCGGACCTATTCCAATAAAAGAAAATTTTACTGGCACCTGTTGGACATTCAAAGTTTGCAGCTGACTAAATGCAATTCAAGCAAATTCCGAATCCTGATTCACCCCTAAATTCAACAATGCTCTAATTCAATGGCTTCGAGGTAAGTAACACATCTTTTGTGGAAGCACTCCAATAAAATCATTACCATACCTGACCATGATAATGTGACACCTAGACAAATAATAAACAAGGGTCGTTACCTGGCACCCGTTGGTCGAGGGTGCTGGGAGGGGCAGACTGGATATATGCCAGTTACCTTTGACATTATCAGAGGGTAACTCAGAAAATAACGTAAGGTACTAAGGTTTTCCAATGTAGGAAAAAAAGTGAAAGAAGTATGAAACTAGCATGGCAATTATAAAAATACAAATATGAAGCAAAAGATGAGATCAAAAAAGCATATTAATGAGAGTTTTAATGACAATAGAAGTAACAGAATTAGCATTTTGCAGGCCCACAGGACTGGAATTCTGAAAATAAGGAATGCCTGTCCCCGAAAGCACATGCAGGATAAGCAAGTGTTTCAGTCTGATCCTGAAAGAGCTACATGCCCAGCAAACATAGTAATTCATTTAGTTGGCATTTGGCAATAAAGCTTCCAATAACGAGTTGGAAGGTTAAAAAGAAGCAAAGGCAGATTTTGAGGATTCAAATTTGCTAATATGTTTATGTGATAAACTATATAATTATGAAAGCCTACAGATGCTGCCTAAGATTAATTAACTTACAAAGTTGATACAAATTTGAACGACAATTCTTAAATTTTTTATTAAATAATTTTAAAAAATTATGGAAGTGAAGTAGTGAACCTTCCTGACAAGAACTTATTTTGACTAATTGGGGTGGGATTATTATACAATGATAATTATGATATAAAATTTTAAATCAACATTTTAACATAACAATACGTTTCTAGCATCAGGAAATATAAAGATTACAGCAAGTTCCAGCACATAAATCTAGGAAAAATCACTTAAAAAACATATATCTAAGAATTACAAAATAAATTAACGCTCAGTTGGATACAAACATACCGGGAAATGCTTCTCAACATCGTCAATATCATTAACAAGTGAAGCTCTTGGATCATCCAAAGAAATTGCAACTATTTTCCAGTCTAGCTCCCCCTCATCGATCATGGCTAAAGCAGCTAAGGGCTTGACCTTCAGAATCTGGCCTATCTTTCCACGACTTTCACCAATCTCAACAACATCAACTACGAATGGAAGAGATCATCAAACGAAATTCAATCAGTATGCAATTGTTTCTCCTTCTTATGATAGAAAAGATTGCTTCGTACATGGGAAAAGTAAAATGTTTTTGATTAAAAAAAACCTGGATCATTGTCTCCAAATGCCCCATCAACTTCAGAGTTTGCAAATGATGGGTCTTCCCATGTTTGTGGAAGCAATCCATAATTCCAATTTATGTTGTACCTGAGAAAGAATAAGACGATTTGGGAACATAAATAAGAAACTAAAATTTCAAGGGGGGAAAACGAAGGAAAGGTATGCATGTTAGAAATATGACATGATGTGAGTAAAACCAAAGCAGTAATGGTATTTATCCATCATTTGTGAGTGCAGCTAACTCCCCATGCCAAAACAAAAATCTTTATTTGATAGGGCTTACTTATTCCTATTACCAATAAATTGCATGGCCTTAGAGATTTTGGCAAAAATGTCACTGTTACCCAAGGATTGTTGAACTAACAGTTTCTAAGATATGGTAGAATAGAAAACACTGAGAAAAAGGTACATAAGTTGGCTTTGGACTTGCATATTGAATTTTGCACAATACATTATTTAAAGATTAAAATAAAAATCATATAAGTTTTATGAGATCTTGTGAATGACGTGATGGCCCAGAAAGCCAATCAATTGTTTCACAGTGAGTGTTATCCAGGGAATAGCATGAGTGCCCTTTGTTCGGCATACACAGCCAAGTTTTTTGGCCGGTCTTCAAAATTCAAGGCTACCTAACTGCTATAAATAACACTAAATATAAGGAAAAGAATTATGATATAATTTAGTTATATCCTGTGTAGGATATTTCTATCTCTATCTTCTTCAGCTAGTGGCACAAAAGAAAATTAAGGGCTTATATGTTTAGGGCTGTGTATAAAAAACATAAAGTAAACATGCAGTCCACATGCCATGGCGCTTGCCATTTAATGGCAATGCCAGGAGTTAAATCCATAAAATAAATTTTGCTAGAAAGTAGCAGATGGGCATACAAATAGGGTAATCAATATGGTTAAATTGAAGCCTGAAAAGTTCCCACATGAAAACCCTCAATGGCCAAATTCCAACACACGTCTCGTCTTCTGATGCACTACCAATGGTCCATTTAAACGGTCCATCCAATAGCAAGTTAGATACTTATATATGAAAACAAGTGACAATAGATAATTCAAGCACCTAAATGACAACAATTACAAAATACAAAAAACACAGAAAAAAGTCAAACCGTGCGTCTTACGGATAATATCTAAGTTTTCCCTTTTTGGTATCCTGCTTTATGGGGGTGTATATTTCATCGGTAGCAACCTCCATCTTCGCACTTGATTCTTTTGGTATTTCAACAATACAATTGAAAACACCATCACCCAGGTGCAGTGGTACATCATGCCAAGCAGAAACCTGCACATTAAGCAAACAATGTTAGTGTACTAGTAGGTAGGTGTTTGTGACGAGAAGTAGTCCAAATTCTTGAAGTCCCAAATTATTATGCATTATTTCTACAATTCACTCTTCTAGCATAAATATTAATATTTTGGATATACTTCAGGAAGTCTATTTATTTGCAAAAATTCCTGAATCAAGCAAACTGATTCTGAAATGGAACATGCCCTCCAATCTTCAGCATATAATATTCATAAAAACAATATTGAAAAATTTACATCATTACTAGTAGTGAAATTAACGTCTAAATAAGTCAAAGTGTGCTACTGTGCTCTTCAGTTGAAAACAAAGTAATGCCAATTATGCATCAAATCATCCAATGCCAGTTTGATTGCTGAGAAGATGAAGGGATAAAAAAAATGAAAAAAAAAACTCAAAAAATCTTATAGTAGCATGGGCTTAGAGTGGCAATTGATGATAAGGTTTCAACAGTTATATCATCTTCCTGACTTTTCTTGTCAATTAAACAAAGATAAATACAAATTAATCCTTCAAATATGAAAAAAATTCAACCATCCCCAGGCTGCCCAGCATTGCAAATTCTCTGATGTCTCCCAATTTCTAATGCCAATTCACCTTTTTCAACTGATAACTGAACTACAAATTTGAAACTAGTCTCAATTTCCATAACCACCCATTTAACTATAGCGTTTTTTTTTTTTTTTGGTTAAAAACCCATTTAACTATAGTTGAGGATAAAAAGAAATCATTTCTAGAACATATTCTAATAATCAAACACTCTCAATTTCCATAATTCAATCCATTTAACTATAGTTGAGGATAAAAAAAAATTAAATCATTTCTAGACCGTAATTTAATAATCAAACACCCAATATAAACATACCAAACAAAACCCATGTTGGCACTTAAGAAAACAAAACATAAATATCGAATCCGACGAATTATTGTTTCATAAGATTTTGCTTCCAACACTACTGATATTGGAAATTTCAAAATTCCCATTTTCTCCGCAGACAAACAGAAATAATCAGAGAGAAAAGGAGGGACCTTTTTGCCGGAATCATCGACGAAGAAAACCCGGTAATCAAGGGTTTCGGGTTGGCCTTCTTCTTTGGTCTGAACATCGAAGGGCTTGTAAAGAGCAGTGCAAGTAAAAGACCTTTTCTTGGGTACCAATCTGTTGTTGAAGCACAAACTGAGACTGTGAGATGATCGAAACGGACCTTTCAATAGCAAGGAAGTGGTGGCGGCTCGGCTATTGCTTGCTGCTATAGTGGATATCACTCTAGTGGCCGCCATTGCTGATTTGCTTTGGCTCACTTTAGAAAGAGATGAGAGACAGAAGAAGAAAGCTGTTAACTTTAACCACAACAATGACCAAACAATGAGAGCTGATAGGCTTCTCTCTCTCAAAAGTGGACCTAGTTTGACGTGTAACTGGCCGCTCGTGAGTCTTGCGGTGTCATATTTATATAATACCCAACTTGCAAATGATTTTTCTACCAACCCAAAATCTGAAGATTGTTGCATTTTTGTAAAATATTATATATATATATATATATATATATATATATATATATATATATTTGATCAAATATATTTATACCACACAAATTACAAGATAGTTATTTATTTATTTATGTATTTCAAATTTTCAATCATGTGGTACAAGTTTAGGATCCAAACCTCTCCGGTACAAGATACCTGAGACGCAATTTCAATGGTGCAAAAATGCACTATATTACAGTTAGGAGTGTCGAAGTGTGTCGCAATCGTGTCGATTTAAGAATATTTTATTAAATAGATCAATCCGAATCCGGATACGACCCTTTTAATAATCGTGTCAAGAACTTTCAACACTAATTTGACCGGTTTATCAAGTAGATTATATATATAACCCGTTTAATGACCTATTTAATAAAACAAAGTATTATTATAAAAATTATTAATAATATTCAATCAAACAATAAATATTAAAAAAAATATAAGTTTCAATTCAACCAAATTACTAAATAAACTCTAATTTAATGGTAAGTGTGTTGTGGGGCTAATTTACGTGTTCTAAAGAAAAAATAAAATAAAAATCAAACAAATTACTAAATAAACTCTAATTTACAAAAGTATAAACTGTAATTTATAAGTTTAGATAGTTATTTTGGAACTTAAATAGAAATTTGTTTATGATACGTACAGTTAAACGGATTAAACCCCTCAACCTATACATGACACGATTAACTAAACGGGTTAATTGTGTCGACCCGTTTACGACCTGAACCCGTTTAATGTCAATCAAAACCCACTTAACTTGTATCATGTTTGAATGATATTGACGAATCATGTCAAACTTTGCCACCCCACATCACTCATTTTATCAATTCAACAATGCATCATTTTTAGCGGTGAGTTTAATTAAGTTTTGTTTGGAGGTACCGAAATCAACCCTTTAAATCTGAGATTAGAATAAATTTAATATAAATTCCAAATTAAACTTTCTTTTACTACAAATCCAAGACACCTATTCATGTTTTTAGTGAATTATATTATAATAGTAGTGTAGTAAAATTCTTGTCCTTTGTATTGTAATCTAAATGAAAATTATTTTTCAAAAAGAGTTAGATTTGGTGAAAAAGTGCAATTAAAGATTTTTGCATAATAGCAGAGTCAAAAAATAATAAAAATAAAATCAGAGACTTGTATAATTCTTTCTTCTTATTTCCACATTGGAGAAAGATTGAGAAAGTAAGACAGAGATTGGCCGTTGAAAGTGAAATAATTAAACCAGATGTGAGTTGGAGCCCTGTAGGGTACTAAAGATAACTAATAAAATAAAAAGGCTAAAGGTTTATGTTTTAATAAATTTTAGTGTGGGTGCTTTTATAATTTGTAAAGGGCATCTTTTAAGGTTTGAGAAAATTACACACTGACAGAGTGTTGGCCCATACTTTGACATCTCCTAAAAGTGTGTAATATCTTTCTTATCCTAATCTAATTTAATATTAGATTAATAAAAAATATATATCTGTCAAACCAAAGAACTCTATTACCCTTTAATTTTTTTTCCATCTTGTAAACATTATATTATCCTACCTAATTTTTTTTTTTTTTTTTTTTTAAAGAAATCTTATCAAACCTTAAAATAAAACACTAATCAAATGTCTTCAAAAATATATATATGTTTGTAAAATTTAATAATATAAGTTTGGTATGAAAATTGATACTTTGCATTTCAATGGAATTTCATAGTATTTTTGTAATTTCATGTCAAAATATATGGGGAGGTCTTTTAACACTAGGAAATGACAACTTAGTTATTTTTTTGAGTTTTCACTAATGGCAAAGGGCATTGTTGAGCATTTACGCCAAATCTTTAGGGAGGTCAAAATAATAAAGTCCAAACGTTCTACCTGTGTATAATTTGTCCAAACTTCAGGGGATGTCAATGTAATTTATCATTTCGTAAAAGTATATATAAAGGGCAACTGCCCCCACTCTCCTAACTCTACCATCGGTGTCCGATGAGTACAATTTTAATCCATAAGTTTATAGAGCTCTTCTCGTTAGCAGCTCAAAACTCAAGTTCATTTGTTTGCAATTCAAGTACATTTAGTAAACATATTGGCTTGTTTGCATTTATAATTAACTCCATCGGAATTTTTATTTATTTATATTACTATCTATTTAGCTTGTAAAAATCATGGTCCTTTCCAAGTGTAGAAAGGAGGTGGGTTGCGGGCATTCCAAGAACTGCTGTCATTCCAAAGTGGAGTTCCAAACAATATTCCAGTTGGAAGTAGTAGGAAACATGTAATACCCCTTGATTCTAGTGCCACGGGTGATCAAGTCCGAGCACAGATTCGAGGGATACCAAATAATTAAGTATATAAACAAGCATTTGATTTCAAAAGAAATAATAACGAATAAATAAATGGCAGAAAGAAACTAAATAATAAATCCTTAACTTAAATAAATAAATAATTCTCCAAATGAATTATCCAAAACCTTAAATTATCATTACAATTCGGAAATCCATCTAGTGGACCCCTAATGATATTCTGACTGAACCAACTGAAAAAAATAAACATAATCCGAAACTAACATATAAAGAGAGTCCTACGTAGAACCGGAAGAATGATGTGGACTGTCTTTACTCAGCACGAACAAACTCTATGTCTAGAACTAACGAACACCTGAAAAAATAATAGTGGGTCAGGCCCACGAACAAGTTCTTTCTACAACAACCCAAATAGAGACCGGAGAAACTATATATCTATAGCTAACCCATGCAATAACTATATAGTCCATACATACATATACATACTAAAGGAACCTCACTAGACTATAGGGTTGCCTTAAACTGAATAGTAGGCAACATGCAAAAACGCACATATAGTGGGCACGAGTACCTAGGCCTACCAGGGCATATAACTACACTATATCTAGCTACACATCCCTGGCAATATACGCAACCTATCCACTGATCCTGAGACTCAAGCTCATATCATGGCATATGTCTATATATATATATATATTCAATCTAAAGTAATCCATTATGTATCATCCAACTTGTTCAGTTGACCTGACATGAATATAAGTAGTACTTAACATTTTAGTTAATCCATTCCTTTATAAAATAGGTAGGACTTAACTAATAAGTTAATCCATCCCTAGAGTGCCACCATCCCATACTGGTGCACTACATCCACACAATCTAACAGTTGATGTAACAATTAAAGAAGTACATCACATAATCCAGAATAAACATAATAATATGTTATCATGTTATTACAAAATAGGAATGCCTTATAAAATTATTTAAGCTTCCTACATCACATATCCTACACATACTGAATCTTAAACCGATTTATATTTTATTATACAATCACGTAAGCATTCTTCATATACCATTTATGTTATACATTTAATCTTAATTGTTAGAACAAACTAAAGACTAAATCCATTCATTCCTCAAAGAATCAAATAGCATGCATTGAAATATTTAAGTTTGTTTAAAATTTATTTAAACTCATTCCTAGTCCTTATTTGATGTTTAGGACTCATCAAATTTAATAAAAAGTAATACAACGCTGTTTCCAAAACTTCTCCAGGTAAGGCTCGAGCTTTTGTCCTAATTGCTCGAGCACCCTACTTTAGGCTCGAGCATCCTACTTCAGGCTTGAGCTTTTCACCCAATTGCTCGAGCTTTTCCTTTCAGGCTCGAGCTTTTCATCCAATTACTCGAGCTTTTCCTTTCAGGCTTGAGCTTTTCATCCATGGCTCGAGCTTTGCCCCCAAGGATCGAGCACTGTATCAACGAATTGAACAGTTTACGCGACTCAACCTAGAATTTCACTATGCATTCATTCTTTATTTGTTTTAGGATTCTAAGGCATGTTTTTAGGTTCCATTAGTATACAGATATGAAAAATATATCATTTAAAACATATAACAATTCATAAAGTAATCAAAACAAATCTCTGAACTTATCAATTCATACAACCAGAACAACCATGTAATATAATTGATAAAACCTATGTCTAGATTAATTAAATTAAAAATTCCAATTTTAATTGTTCTTTGCATAACCCTGAGATTATACTATAGATATAAATTTCACAGATCAAAGGAGAAATATAAAACAAGAACTTACCTTTAGGGATTTGATAAAAACCCTAGCCTCCTTCATCTTCCTCCTTCTTTCTCTCTCTAAAATATAATACGTGATATATTTTCTAGTCCTCTTTTTAACCCTATAGCTATATATTTGTAGGCTGAATACTAACCCTATTCCTCTTCCTAATCCAGATCAAATTAATAAAGAAAATAATAAAATTAAAATACTAAAAAGGTAACAAAAAAATATATGTTATGTAAAATCTATGTATATTATTTTTATCTAAATAAAATAAATACACTAGATTATCTCCGAATGACTTTCCTTAAATATCTATATATTATTTACTTATATATATATATATATATATATATATATACACACACACACTATCCATGGATAATTATCCGTATCCATTAAACCCCTTATTCAAGTAGTCCATGGAACCCAATTGGTTGACCCATGACTACTATCCATAACCATTTGAATAAAATAAAATAAAATACAATCAAATAAAATAACAATTTAAAACATTTAATTCATAACCATTAATTACAAGAAAATACCTAACATTTAAGTAAACAAAAACACATTATCTAACATATAGTTCATCTAAGCAAATATTTCAAATAAACACATAATCAATTAATTCAAATAAACAATTAAACAAATAGCTAAGAAACCAAATAAAGAAATAAAACACAATTAAAACAATTAATAAAAAAACCGAGACTATCATTTTAAAATTAGGGGTATTACATTCTCCCCCTTAACAAAAGGAATTCCGTTCTCAGAATTCACCCTTACCTTCATCCATTATGTCTGG